AGTAGCATGAGAATATTCATTCCTTGTCATCTGTGGGACGGACAATAAGTCAAGATGGGGCCCTTTGGAGAAGGGCATTGAATTCCATGGGTAGGGTTCTGCTTATGTATCTTTGCTAAATGATGAAATAATTATTCCACCCCTATATTATCTTGGTCTTTAGTCTTCATTTAATTCTTGCGTTGGTTTATGGATGGGATGGAGTAACTTAATTGTGCAAGGTAGTGATGTGACTGTCTTATAGTTGATTTTAAGTGAATTATTACACAATTGATGAAGATTGCCTTCTCATTGCAGTGTAGCATAAGTATTTTAAAAAGTCTGACGCAGAATGCAACTTTTGTTTTAAAAATCCTTATTAGAAAGGTTACTATTTTTTTCTTTAATAATTGTTTGGCATTACAAAATAAACCATATTAGCAAAGCACATTACTTATGTGGATTGACATATTTATATTATCACATAATGAATCTAATAGGAATTGCATCTTTTCTATATGGACATTTCATTTTAACATTATAAAAAAAAAGTACTTCAAATCTTGTAGGAATACAATATGCTTGTTAAGTAGCTGCTCTTTGTTTGCCAGCCTGAAAGAAGGTATACAGGTAGTACTTGACTTGCAACTATTTGTTTAGTGACTGTTTAAAGTTACAGTGGTACTGAAAAGGTGTCATTTTACATTTACAACCATTACAGCATCCCTATGGGTCATGTGATCAGAATTTGGATACTTGCCAGCTGGCCTGTAGTAATCATGGTTGCAATGTCCCAGGGTCATGTGATCACCTTTTGCGAACTTCTGACATGCAAAGTCAATCTGGATGTCAGATGCACTTAACAACCAACCGTGTTACTAACTTGACTGAAGTGATTCATTGAACCTCTGTGGCAAGAAAGGTCGTAAAATGGGGCAAAATTCATTTATCAACTATTTTGCTTAGCAATGGAAATTTTGGGCTCAATTTGTAGTTGTAAGTTGAGGACTACCTGTTAACCTTGTAAGAAGTCACAGCAACTAGTGAATAAACTTCTTAAAGCAGGTGCAACTTTGTTGAAGTTAGTGCACAATTCACTCTGCTACAGCCATCTTGATAGGTTCTTGCTTTTTAAGAGACCCTTGCCTTTATCCATTTAGAGAATATCAAATAAGATATAACTCTTGCTTAATCTCCTGAACGTCATAGTTAAATAGCAGTTCATTGACATCTTATACCAGAGTTCCTAAAAATCAAGCAATGTTTCTTCATTGCCTGTGGTGGTGCAGTGGTTAGAAAGCAATATTGTAGGCTAACTCACTGCTCACTCCAGGGGTTCGATTCTCATTGGCTCAAGGTTAACTCAGCCTTCCATCCTTCTGAGGTCAGTAAAATGAGGACCCAGATTGTTGGGGACAATATGCTGACTCTGTAAAATGCTTAGAGAGTGCTGTGAAGCGGTATATAAGTCTAAGTGCTTTTGTTATTGCTATCTGCTAGTAAACTTACAAATCTGGAAACAACACTGAAAACTGGAATAATTTTAAGTTTTTAGAAAAATAGTGGAAAAACTCAGTTGCTTGAAATAATAGCTTATGCAAATACTTGAAATATTTAAAAAACAGAGTAAAGTTTGGTAATTTGAAACAGACTGTTGATCTGCTTGCAAATCCTCAGATTACATGAAATTGAATGTTGCAAGCAATTCTCTCCAATCCATGTTAAAACAAATTCATGATTTTAATTCACAGATCTGGGGCCATTTAATTGAACATTTAGTCCCATTTTAGTGATTGTAGTCAGCAGAAATTTTTTTTGTTACAAAATATTTAAGGATTATAGCCTTACAGCTTCATTACATTTAAGTAGTTGAATGGAAACGTATACACCCTGAAGTGAAGAAGTTACATGGAGTAAAATTGATGAAGAACCTATTGCATTCCTGAAAAAAAGGATTGCTGCCTTGGAAGCTTTATTGGATAAAGAACAGAATTATTTAAAAATAATACTTCTTAACTACATAAATAAACAACTTTTGCATAATAGGCAAGGATATTAATAAATCATGTTAATATTAGAAACATGAATATCTCTACACTAGAGATAGTAGTTAATAGAAGACAGTTTATATGAGGTAGACAGTCTTGTGTGAGATAATCACCTTTTCAGAATGGTAGATATCTTAGGAAATTAGACAACATATTGTTGGTTACTCTCAGTATTTCTCAATATCATGCACTTTCATCTAACTTATTTCTCGAGAAACTGGGAGAAGGATTATTAGTTCATACCTATCCATTGCATTTGTCACATTACTGTATAACTATTTTTGTAAATTAGACCCTAAGGGTTCTGCCTGGATTTGAACTCTAGCTCCTTTTCTTCTTCAGGGGTGAGAATTTGCAACCTATATATTAATACATTGGGACAGTGAGCAAAGAGATGAGACCTTAGAATAAAAGATAAGAAATTATACTTCAAGTATATTTAAACAAGGAAAAGGAAGACAAGTCAATGATAGTAGCAAAGTTTGAATACCTAGAGAAGCAGTTGGATAGAAGCAAAATGTAGGTACAAAAATAGAGCTGGATATTATCAGTATATGGTTAATACCAAAATCCATGGGGAGTGATGGAATTTCCTACAGATAATATACATACATACATACATACATACATACATACATATATGGTATTCAGCTTTGTTCTGGTATTTTCCCACGTCATTGTAGTTGTACAGTGACGTGGGAAAATACCCAAACAAAGCTGAATACCATACATGTAAGTACCCGCGAAAACTTAAGAAAACAAATATATATATATATATGGTATTCAGTTTTGTTCAGGTATTTTCCCACATCATTATAGTTGTGCTTTTAAAGTTGTAGCAACGTTTCGGCAGAATCTCATCTGCCATCATCAGGCTTCTGTATTGTGTTCGATGAAGGGCCGAGCTGCAGCTGTCCCTCTCTCGCCAGCGCCGTCTCCAATAACAGTGGCAGCAGCAGCGGGAACCGTGGAAGCGTTTTAGCCGCTTCTCGGGTGGGGGAGCTGCCTCCGTAACTTCCACGGTTCCCACCGCTGCTGCCGCTGTTATTAGAGACGGTGCTGGTGAGAGAGGGACAGCTGCAGCTCGGCCTGGGCGCTTGGAATGCAAGAACGAGCTGCACACTGGGACTTTTGCAAACTTGCAGAGCCCAAGGCTGGAGCACCAAGGGTAGCAGCAGCAGAGACGCTCGCTTGGCTCTTCTCACACCCACCCAGTCGCTCGGGATTAAACCAAAACGCAGTGCACGGTGCTCCCAGGTACCTCAAAATCTTTTTTTCCCTGTTGTTACGGGGACGGGGGAAAAGCAGGAGCGACTCAGACGCTGTTGTTGGAGACGGCGCTGGTGCATGGGGGGGGGGAATTAATTCACCCCCGAAAAGACGTCCTAGCCGGTTTTTGGGGGCTCAAAAAAAAATAAGGCCTGGTAACACGGTATATAGATATATATAGAAAGAGAGATTGAAAAAAGACCTGAAAGCATGAATAGAAGAGATGATTGCACCAGACTGTGAATTATTTGGAAGCTTGCACTCACAAACAAAAAAATCTCCACACCACAAGCCAGGCAAACACCTGGGCACAAACAGATCCCCCCTGATACCTCCAGCTCAAACACAACCCAACCAGGCACCCAGATGAAACCTAGCTTAAATGATAAATGATAGCCGTCCGTTTACTCGGAGCCAAGCCGCACTAAAAGCCTCCAATACAGGAAACACAATGTTGCCAGCCAATCAAGACAAAAAAGCTACAAAACAGACAGAAGATATTAGAAACACCAATCAAGCAGAACACAGCAAACTCCAAGACCAATAAACACAGACCAAGACTCCCAACCAATTAGGATGAAGAAAAAACCATTCTGGCACAGCAGTAGGCTAGCCCCAAATTTAAAACTGAAACGGCTGTGAAAGTCTGACTCACAGACGAACACAATACAGAAGCCTGATGATGGCAGATGAGATTCTGCCGAAACGTTGCTACAACTTTAAAAGCACAACTATAATGACGTGGGAAAATACCCGAACAAAGCTGAATACCATATATATATATACACACACACACAGAGAGAGAGAGAGAGAGAGAGAAATGATTGAATATAGGAGAGCAAAGAGGCATAGTGATTTTTAAAAACTTGGAAAAGAGTTAAGCCAGATTCATATGCAAAATCAAAGAAATAAAGTAGGAAAAATATTAGCCATAAAAGGGAGTAGAATAATGAATTAATCATAAAGCTACTTTGTTCATCTGTGGAAACATCAAGCAAGCAAAATAAAAAGGGTGGGAAATAGGCAAAAATGGGAACTGGCAGAATTTGGAAAGAAGTCAGACACCACTATTAACAGACTGTTGAATGGGAGAATAAGGGACACTAAAGAGAGTGGTGCAGTTAGAGGGACGAAGCTATTAATCAGTGAAGGCAAACAACAAAGAAAAACCAACAAATCTGAAAGGAAGTAGTATGCATGGAACAAAATAGATATAGTTAAAATTCAATCGCATTTGCAGATTCTCCAGAATCATTGACAATTAATAGACATTTTCATATGGAAAAAGCCATATGGAAAATCACATCCAAGCAGTGTTGTTATACCAAAGTACATTATTAAGAGTAGTTATATAAATTAATGCTTGGACTAAAAGCCTTGTGGGTTAGTTTTTCACTTTCTCTTCTTATTTTTTTTAAACCATTTTATATTTGTCATCTGCCTTGTTACTATGCAGATGGAAGAGATATTTGTAGCTTTGAATATATGGGGATATAATTGGGAGAGAAAGTTGCATATTCAATGTGATGTGTTTTATTAAGAGTTAAATCTAGTAGCATTTGGTTTGTTACATATTGATTTCTTAATAATGAATGATTTACAACACACAACTAATTTTAATTTAGGTGTTTCTAATTTATATTACAATAATATTTACACAAAATAAAAAGCACTCAGGGTTTTTATGTTTATTTCCTTATTTAGATATTGCAAATGGCTCTAGTACAGGAGGATACCGACCCCCTCCCAGAACAAAAGAAGTAATCATTAATGGTCAGGCAATTAAATTAAAATACTGTTTCACCTGCAAGATTTTCCGTCCACCCCGTGCCTCACATTGCAGCCTTTGTGATAACTGTGTAGGTGAGTAAAACACAAAAAGCATAGTAATCTAGATAGCTATGGCAGAGAATTGATATATTATTGATATATATTATATTCATTTGGTATTTCTCATTATTAAAGTATAGCTTTGCTATTTTGTCAAACTGGTACAACTGAAGGTAAACTGTCAGTGTTTACACTTCTCTGTTTATATATCCCAGATTCGAATACGTAATTTCAGGTTTGCTATTAGATCACCTCAAGCTTCCTTTCAGCTTGAAATGCAACTGCTGCTCTTTGGGTTGATTTTAGATGTCCAAAACGTTTAAGAAATGTGTTAATAAGCCGAGACATACATTTTGCTAAAGATAATACACATTCCAATAAAACAACATTTGCTTCATATACAAGGTAACAGAAAAGGCATAATACTTAATTTTATAATCCAAAATATGTGATTTTTTTGTTTACATTATAATAGTTTTGGGCTTCTATGATTAAAAAGGGTATACACACTTTTGGCTAAAAAACAATGCAAAAAAAGATCCCTTGGCTGAATCCAGATTATTTCATGAATATACCCATGTCATTTTCCTTGGTAACTATACTGAAATAGTTTATCAGTGCCTTCTTCTGGGACTGTTTGTTTAAGCTCCCCATTCTATTTGACAACCCTGAGTACTTGTCCATTCAGGTGTTAAGCAGACCTGATTCTGTTTAGCTTCCAGACCTGAGCAGATTTGGCCAGGTGATGCTTCCTCCTGTTGGTATGGCTTCATACCACTGAGTGAACTTTTAATTTGTATGTAGAAGTTTTATTTGGGTGACAAAAATCTAAATCCAGAGTAATCAAGGTGAGAATTAATTGCTATTGTGTTTAATGCAAGGCAGGCATCCACATGCTTTCCCTTAGTGCTAGCCAGAAAGGCTAGTGATGAGGGATTATTGCAACTTGGAAGACACCAAATTGTCTGTTTCTGATCAAGTTACTGAAGTGGGAGTTTAATTTATACTTCTAGATTTTCTGTGTTTTAGTAATAAAGTAAAAAAAATTGTAAACACAACTGATATTATACTAATTAGCTATGTAGAGAAACATGCAAATGTAGAATGACCAATGGATGCAGTCATACATTAAATCATAGGGCTTCAGAGAAAAACCACAAGAAGGCATACTGCCAATGGGCACAAATGTGAATGATCCTCGTTGAATTAGCCAGGTTTTTGGTATTCCACAGAAAAGTCCTTGGGTTTTCTGTGGCAGAATATATTCTAACAATGGTTTAAAATATTTGCTAGACCAATACTCAAATACAGCTCATCAGTCTGGAACCCACATAACATATCTGATATTAGCCCAGTTGAGAAAGTCCAGAAATATTTCACAAAAAGAGTTCTCTACTCCTCTACTCGTTGTAGAATACCTGATGCCACCAGACTTGAAATTCTAGACCTAGAAAACCTTGAATTACGCCGTCTTCGGTCTGATCTAAGTACGGTATATAAAATCATACATTGCAATGACTTACCTGTCAATGAATACTTCAGGTTCAACCATAACAACACAAGAGCACACAATAGATACAAACTCAAGGTTAACTGCACCAAACTTGATTGCAGGAAATACGACTTCAGCAATAGAGTGGTCAATGTCTGGAATACTCTACCTGACTCTGTGGTTTCTTCCCCAAACCCCAGAAACTTTAACCTTAGACTATCTACTATTGACCTCACTCCTTTCCTAAGAAGTCTGTGGGGGGGGGGGGCGTGCATAAGCGCACCAACGTGCCTACCGTCCCTGTCCTATTGTTTCTTTTATTTTTCTTATATGTACCCATTTCATGTATTCATAACTATGTATATACTATACTTATACCTATTATCTTATAAGCGATTGACAAATCAAAATAAATAAATAAATAAATTTTTTTTAAAAATGCTTTTAGAATATTTGTAAACAAAAGCCAGTTCTGTTCATCTAATCAGTCAGAGAAAAGGGCTGTTTATTTATTTATTAAATTTATATAGCCACCCATGAGATTCCCAGCCCTAATAAAGGGCCTTTCCATCTTGGGTTGGGGGCCAATCTCACTTTGGGAGGGTGGGATAGTAATGATGTTCCAAAGGGCAAATACAAAAACTGTGCTTCTGGACCTGCCAAAAGAACACCTTCACCCTTTCTAATCTTTAACTACCTGTCTTAAGAGTATGATAGCTGCAGAATCAGCTCAAGATGTTTCATTATTAAAAATATCTGCAAGAGTTAATAAACATATTCCCAAGTTCCTTAGCAATACTATAGGACAGGGATGTCAAATCTGGCCCACAGAGTGCTTAGATCTGGCCTGCAGACCTGCCCTGGAAACAGTGAAGGACCGGCCCACGGTGCCTCTGCCAAAGAAAAGGGAGATCAGGAGAATTGTACGTGGTCCTTCCGGATTCTGTTTTGGGCCGCGAAGACTTCCTGCAACTCTCTGCCAGTGAAACAGACCCCAGGGAGGCAGTTTTCGCTGGCAGAGGGTTGCAGGAGGCCATCGCGGCCCAAAACGGAGACTCGATGAATGACATCGAGCTGGCCACACACCCCTGCCCCTCCAGAGGTTAAACACAACCCTGATGCGGTCCTCAATGAAATTGAGTTTGACACCTTTGCTATAGGATATTTGGAGTAAAGCTGTTGAATTTAAGTAGTTAAGTGGTAACATCTTAATAAAAAATTATCATTTTAATAAAGTTTAATTTACTTGCTTTAAAATATTTATAGAAAATTACCCCAAATATTCAGTGTATGCTTTTGGAAGAAAATAATAAAACAAATAACAAAAATAGTTATTGAAACAGATGATTTACTCAACCAAACAAATGCTTGCTGAAATCTGAAAGTGAAGTAAAAATTCTGCTGCCCATCAAAGTTAGTCAGAAACTAGTTTCAGAACTTATATAGTAAACACATTTATTTCAGCTAAGCAAAGGGGAATTTGTAAATTCAAAAAATGAACATTGTTGGTATATACACCCAGGAACTAAGAAAGAGAAAGACCTGCTTAATATTACATAAAACAAAAAGTGAAGTATATAGGTTAATTTGAGAAGGCTTGCACAGAAGTGAAGTATTGTTTAAGACTACTTTATATATAACTGGCATAAACATAATATGTAACAAATCATATGTTAATGAGAACTTAAGCCATTTTTTTCCCTAACTGAATTCTTTTTTTGCTTCTATGTTCTCTTTCAGAACGGTTTGATCATCATTGTCCCTGGGTAGGCAACTGTGTGGGGAAAAGAAACTACAGATTTTTTTATATGTTTATTTTATCTCTGTCATTTCTGACAGTTTTTATATTTGCATTCGTTATTACCCACATCATCCATCGTAAGTATGCTAGTAAAATCAGATTCTGTATGTTGTCATTTCCTTGCAGTTAAATTTTAACTTTAATCTTGATCATTTAGGATAGCTGTATCTTTATAGAACCTCCCCCTTTACCTCCAATAGTATTCCTTGTTGGGCCTTCAACCTTATTTCCAACTGTAAAAGTTTCTTGTTAATTCAGATCCTTGCCAGCTATTTTTTTTCTTCGTTATTTCTTATTTGTGTAGCTTTTAAAGTTAGGTTATATAAAAGAATAATTGGCTATTATTGTCTTTATTCTCTTTTCATTGAGTAGTAGGCTGTCAGTAGAAATTAAGGTCCCTGATTGCTTCAGTGAAGCAATCTTAACACATTCTAGTTCAGGTACATAGTTAATCAAATAAGCAGTCAGTATGGTGTAGTGCTTTGAGGGGACCATCTTCAGGTTACCACTTGATGATGGAAAGCTATTGGGTGATCTAAATATTATCATTCAGCCCAATTTATGTCACAAACCTGTTGTGAAGACAAAATGGGAGCTGTAAAGTTAAATAATACACACATACTAAACTGTATAAAATCATATGATATACTTGTCTTAGTTAAAGGTGGAATCAGCTAGCTGCTAGAGTTTTGTTTCATGTTAGCCTAATGGCAGATGTGGTTTGTTTGTTTAGTAGCATAAACTAATTTGATACTTTATTTTGGGAGATGCTACCATCGATGGAAAAAGAGATAAAAGGCTGAATCCAGCCTCTCATTTCCCAAAATGCTGTTGTGGCCAGTTCTTCAAAGGGCTCTTCACTCAAGAATTCCATAAAATGGCCAAGAGTCTTTTTTTAATTTCAGCTAAATATGAATCTAATAAATAAGTAATGCACTTGGGGCTTTGAATTCATTAAACTGAAATTTACTGCTGGCTGCTCATATCTCCTAGTAGTATCTCCAAAGGAATTTGTAAAAAGCTTGGAATTTGGGTCAAACTGTAGTTAAAGATCTCCTGATCCAGCCAAAACATTTTTTGTGTGCGTGAGAGTAAAAATAAATCAGTAAGCACATTTTTTATGGAGAAAACTGAGCTTGAAATATTTTGTTTCCATATTAGGATAGTACAAAGAAGGAAACCATGAATCTTATTTATATGTAACCAATGCCTACAGACATTAACCTGGTGTTACCGAGAAAGTATCCTGCAAATGCAATTCTGATTTTACTTTCTCTCTTTTTTTATTGAATAGTTTCATCAACATTTTAAGGCTGGTTTAAACAAATTATGTGTTGTGATTATTTGAAAATACAATTTTATGTTGGGTTTTTGGATACTTTCACTTATGCTTATAGTTTCACTGTATTTGACATGTATTATCTTTACAGGAACTCAGAAAACAGGATTTTTAACTGCACTTAAGGACAGTCCTGCAAGATATCCTTTCACTGAAATACATCTATCTTTGTTGGAATAATTTTTAAAGAATTAATATTTAGATATACTTCTATTTGCTTTCTGCTGGCAGCTAATGGGTTTTTTAAATTAATGGATATGAAATAATTAAATTAAAACTAAGAAGTTCATTTATGTGAGTTTATATAAAAATATATGACAGTTTTACATGTAATATATGATTTTCCCATCAAGTTGCTCTTCAAAGCAATGGCATCTCAATTCCCACATCCCCAACCAGCATGACTAATCTCTACTGGTTCAGAATTATGGGAGCAGAAGTCCAAGCACATCAGGAAGACCCCAAGTTGGAAAAAGCTGGCCTATGAATTTTAACGGCCAGAATATTTTTGTAGTACAGTTTTAATCATTTTTGATGAGATAGTGAAATGAGTTTGCAGTTTCAGACTTATCCCTTAGCTTATGTAGGAATATGATAGATCACACAAAAAATGGTTCTTTGTAAAATAAAAATTCCTCACATAATGTGCATTAGGTGCTAAAGTATCCAAAAGAAAACCTGTTATAATGATGTATCTTTTCTTTTATGTATACTGAGAGCATTTGCACCAAGACAAATTCCTTGTGTGTCCAATCACACTTGGCCAATAAAGAATTCTATTCTATTCAATATTTAATAGGCATTCTCAGAGAATGAGCAGAAAACCAGGAACGTGCTCATGCAATACTTTTTTATAGGTTTACATGACACTTGCTATTTTCCCTCTACCTCAGTAGGTTCTCATGGTATTGATTCTGCTATTGTGTTGGAGTGATGAATAAAAGAAGTATATCATTCATGGGTTTTCATTTTGACCCCTTAAACCCTGTAAATTCAGAAGAAAACCCACAAGTATACACACTGCTTTCTTATAATATATGTATTTTAAGCAATGCATACATCTAGAAACATTAGGATAACGTCTCCACACAATAGCGAGCATCGAGTGCTACAAATTTTAATGGAAATTAGAAGGTAGCAAATAAAAGGTTTTCAGCCATAAAACAGCTAAACATTACTTAATTAAGCACAAATACTGAAGTATAAACACCTAATAGCTTCTGTTCAAACACTGTTTGTAAATAATGTAGTAGCCTCCAATTAAAAGAATCACAGTTCTTTCTTATTATGCTTTTCCATTCCCTGAAAATGAAAGAGCTTTTTATAAGTTCTGAACAAAAGGATTATTGATGCCAAATGTGTTGATTACTTTACAGGGACAATTAGTAATTCATTCATTCATCATTTGCATTTAGGGGCTAGCAACCTAAGGGGGGGGGGGGGAGAGAAAGGAAGAGGGAAGAAGGAGAGAAAGAAAGAAAAGAAAGAAACTGGTAAAAGAAATCCTTCCAATGTGTTGCATTACAATTTAGTAATTTCCTTATCACCATTTATTCTCTCTACTCTCTTTTTCTCTGTTTTTAATTATATATAATTCCATCACTAATAACAGAGATTTTTTTTTACCATACAGTCCATCCATTCCATGTGTAAACAAAAGATATACATATAATAGAAGTAATCCTTTATTTCTATCATTTGTTCTCATTTTTTCGTAGTAATTTTGGAGGAACTTTGATCCTAAAAGATAATGGGGCAGGGATTTTATTTTACACAAAGTTTGTAGGATTGAGCCATATATTTTCAAATGATTAATGTTCCGGATATAAACTAAAATACATTTATGAAGTTTAATAAACTTACACACAATTCACACACAATTTTGAAAGGTTATTTGCATATTTTATCAAGTTGATTGAAACAGAATAATAATTGAGGAAAGAACAGCACTCCATGCTCAATAAAAACAGAAGTATTAGAAATGTTGAAGATACAATGGATTTGAGGTCTTCAAAGAGAGCTAAAGTAAGAATAATAGTATAATCTAGTCTTTAAGAGCATATATGGGTTTATTGTTTTATGGTTCTACTTCTTTTAGCCTCCTGAGAATATTTATAGATTTTTTGCTTCTCTTGTTTTATGACGGCATTCTCCTTATTTATTGCTTGTGTCACCAAAACTGCTTTGCATTATAATCTAATTCCATTCAGTTCTTCTTCATGCTTATTTGCAAAATATAAATGGTTGGAGAGTAGAGGTGTTTTGTTTCATGAATTTGTATAAGCTTTTCATATTCAGGATCTTGGATAGTTGCACTGTTACATAGTTTCAAGTTTACTAACATGTTATCATGTAACATAATAACATTTGTCAATAATATTTGAATATCATAGCTTAATGACCAAGATTGTTTATTTTACCCTGGCTGCACCAATCTAACATGTAGCACAATGGTTGATAGGTTCTGATCAATTGCAAGAATATGATTGGATTTCTGGTACTTATGGTGTGGTTGAATGGAGAGAAAAATGTTTTCAGATGGAGATAGGCAGCTTTTGGTTAAGAAATTTAAATATCACTTCCATTTTATGCATTATTGTAAGTGCATAAAATTGAGTTATGAAGAACAGTGCAACATACTATCAACAGCTTCACCTCTTGTTCTTGGTAATTGTTAACTAACAAGAATACTGAGTAGATAATAGCAGTGCATGTAAGTGTTGTTGCCAATACCTGGTGTACTATATTAATGATATGGATACTTTAGCTTTCTTCCTAGTGTTTTTCCACAAGTGCAGGATCTACTTTTTTCAGATCAAACAAGTATTGATCCATTGGGTGCATTGGGAATTGACTGCCCAGCAAACTGCCCAAGCCTGATATTATGGCTGAGAGAGAGTGACTGGCTGAAAGTCACCCAGACAGCTTTCACGGCTAAGGCAGGACTAACATTCACAGTCTCCTGGTTTCTAGACTGGTGCCTTATCACAAGACCAGTGCTTAGATCTGGCCCATGGGGCTGTTCTGGAAACAGTGAAGAAGCGGCGCACAGTGCCTCTTGACAGCGAAAACAATAGCCTTCTGCAGCCCTCTGCCACCAAAAACAGAGCATGGGGAGGCTGTGCACAGCTCTCCCAGGCTGCAACAACTTCTTGCAGTCCTCTGCCAATGAAAATGGAGGCCAGGAAGGCTGTGTGTGATCTGTCTGGGCTCTGTTTTCAGTCACAATGGCCTCCTGCAGCCCTCTGCCAGCGAAAAAGGAGCCCCGAGTGTAGGCCTTCGAGCTACATTTTTGCTGGGAGAGGCCTGCAGGAGGCCGTCATGGCTGAAAACGGAGCCTCAACAAATAACGTCGATCTGGCCATGCCCACCCCAGCAACACACACACACACACATGGTCAAACACAGCTCTGATGCGGCCCTCAATGAAATCAACTTTGACACCCCTGCACTACACCAAACTGAGTATGTGGATATTTAAATCTGAAGTATATTTTATTTGTTTATTGGATTTATTGACCTTAAAACTGATAAAATAATGAATAACAATAAACTAATAGTAATAATAATAAATACAGTTAAAATATGGGGAGGAGAACATGAAGTATACAGGGATAGGTATGTTATTCCGCATATTATTTAGCTGTCCTCAGAAATTTGGTTTTTGTAAGCAAATACTAAAATATTCAAAGGTTTTGAAATATGTGGTGTACAGACTTTCTATAGTAACCAGGCTGGCAACAGGTATCTGCTTGACAGCCATACAGAAATGTATTAAACATATCTAAAAAACAACCCAGTAATAAAATATTTGGGCCTTATGTTCTAGTCCTGTTTGCTGTTTGTTTCCTTATCTGTAAAAAATGTTTATTTGTGCATTCCTCCAGCAAAATTTCTTTAAAATTCTGGGCAAAGAGGATTTTAAAAATTACATCTAAAATAAGGTAGAAATAACACCAAATTACATCTTGTCTGCTGTAGAAAGTAATTTTGAAGTTGTAGCTCCAGTACAAAGAAGAGTTACTATTTTTCTATGAATGGATTGCCTTTGGTGATTTGCAAGAAAAAGACTTGGCCGTTGTTTTACCATCCGCTGTGCCTTTTTGAATCCACATTTCAGAGATCAGATTTGTAGTTGTACTATTATTATTTAGAAAATGCCATGAAGTAAAATACTAGAAAAAAAAATTCAGTAAGAAAGAAGCATATCAAAAGCTGAGCCAAGGGGAAACACATTGAAGTTAAAGCCATTATGATATTCTGCTTTTTATTCGTTCACTTTGATTGGTATATCTCATGTTCGTTTCATGTGGCCAAGAAGATATATTGGAAGTCAATATATTAGAATAAGTCATATTAGAATAAGCTATACTTATTTTCTCCCACATACCATCTGTTTAACTTTCATAGAAGAACAAAACTGACTAAATGGTAAAGTACTGCATTAATCCAATAAGAAGACTATTTCCCTCTCCCGCCCCCACAGACAATTATTTATGAACTGGAGGATCTTCCTGATTTGACTGTCAAGAAGAATAGCAAATATCACTGAATGGGTTCAGATGTAAATGGCTGTAAACATCACTGGTCAAAAGTATAAATATCTTTGAGGATTTTCTGAAATTACCCTTTGCCTGATGAATTTAACCCTTTGGTAGGGTCTAAACAGGATTTCTGTCCTCAATCCTTGTTCAGTTATCTCTTCCCATTGCTTGATCTATGCTTTCACTCCCTTTTCCTTTACTATGGCAGCTACACCTTTATATACCATTTCCTTTCTCCCTTCTTTCCCTGTTTTGTTGTTCCTATTAGAAGTCAAGAGATAGAGGTATCCTCGGGATCCAATGCTTTCAGCAGGACAAATGCAGTGTTGTGTCATTGTGTGACAGTTTACCCTCTTTAATTCATGCCTGTAATATCATGATACACCAATCAAAGGGACAGCTGGCATCATGATGCCCTGACACTGTTTTTTCATACGCTGTGGATCTCTGTATTTGAAACTGTATGCATGTATGTATCTATATATGAGTGTATGTATATGCATGCGTGTACTTGCATGTTTCTGTGTAAATGAGTGGCTTGTGGGAGATTGGTTGGAGTATGCAGGTGTAGAATTCAATTTAATTAAATGGGTTATTTTACAACAAATTAATTTTAAACAATACTATGTTTTCTTCTAATCCTGCCCTTTTGGGCAAGTTCTGTCTCCAGAACTGGTTTCAAGTGAAATCCACAAGTCTTAAGTTTACAGGGTGGTAAGCTGGACATTTTATAGGATTTTTTTATGTGTATGTACATGCATAGTTACTAATTTAATCAAATACTTCAGGAAAATGTGGAACTTTTCAAACACAGTGTGCTAGTAAGCATGGCATGTCTGTTGTTTCCAAGTACAATAGTGATCCTGAGTGATAATCTTGATTTTTAAGAAAAAATGTTCATTTAGTTGTTGTTGCCAATAGCCTTTATCTTCACTGACTTTTGAATTAATACTACCTTGACATTCAATCACCGTCCTAGAAGCTGTGGTGTGTTTCTTCTCCGTTTGGTCCATTGTTGGGCTCTCAGGTTTTCATACTTATTTGATCAGCTCCAATCAAACAACCAATGAGGATGTAAGTTTCCCCTCTCTTGCTCTAATTTGTCTCCATCTAATGATTTCATGTATTCCATTTTCACTGTCTGCTTTTATCTATTTTTTAAAAGGTTGCAAAGTTCACTCAAGTGTGCTGTCCTATTTTTGTCTATTTAATGCATATAACTACTTTTTGATAGCTTCTTGGCAAGAAACAAAGCATAGTTAAGACGCAGTTCTACAGTAAAATCACTGAACGTGACTTTGTCTTAATTAAATGGAGTTTAGGCTAGGAAATCACAATGACAGCATTAATATTTAGAGCAACCTCCCGCAATCTTTTTTTTCCCTAGAGGTATCCTTGAAATAATTTTCAGATCTCATGGAATTCCTGCAGTAAAAGATATAAAAACTGTGAAAACTTCACAATACATTTAACTTCTAACCTACACAATCCACATTGTAGAACATTTACAACAACAACAAAACAACATGGTAGGCTGGTAGCTGAATTGTATGTAGCATAAAAAATTTCACTGAGAGCTGTAATCTCACAGAATTCTAATTGAAAAAAGCAGTTTTAAAGAATGTGAGTAAGATGCTGGCCTAGCTAGAGAATGTTCACCTTCCCCAAGCTTAAGAAGATGATCAGAAGTAACTTGGCAGTATACTGAATAACTAAAAAACAATGTAGTTGTCAGAAAATTCTCTAATATTTAAAATATAGATTAGGATCTGTCTGCCTGGTAAATGATAACTACGTTCCCCATAATTATGTAAGAAACTTTACAAAAGATTTGAGAATTTAATAAAACACGCATTTTCCATAGTTTGGATTGGGTTAGGATTGCTTCCACCAGATTATTTTGGGTCAGTTGCTGTCTCAACTATAGAGAAAGGAGTTAGGCAGGGATGTCCATTATCTCTCCTGCTCTTCGTATTATCTTTGGAAACACTGCTCACATGAATTAGACAGAACCCAGGAATAAAGGGTTTAAAAATAAAGAAAGAAGAATATAAACTGCAGTCATTTGCAGATGACATGGTCTTTTTCATAGAGGACCCAATTGAAACAGGTCAAGAACTGTTAAAAGAGCTAGATCAATTTGGGAAAGTTGTAGGACTTAAAATTAACAGGGAAAAATGAAATTAATAACTAAAATCCTAACAGAAAAACAGAAATTAGAATTGGAAAAGGCAATGGGACTACAAATGGTTAAAAAAATTAAATACCTAGGAATCTGGCTGACGGCTCAGTGTAAAACTTTAATGGAAAATAATTATAGCAAATTACTACAACAGGTTTAAAAAGACTTAGAGTTATGGGTTAAACTGCAAATCTCCCTATTAGGGAGGATTGCTACCATTAAAATGACCATTCTCCCTAAATTTATTTATTTGTTCCAGACAATACCAATAAAAAACTATTTTGTGGAACTTAATAGGATAATCGCAAAATTTATTTGGCAAAGGAAAAAATCGAGGATAAATTTAAAAGCAATGCAAGACATGAAGAGCAGAGAGGGTATGGCACTCCCAAATTGGGAATTATATCATAGCACAGCTTCTTTACTATGGCTGAAAGAGTGGGTAAATTTGTCAAATAAAAGAATATTATTCCTAGAAGGCCATGATTTACAGAGGGGGTAGCATGCATTCTTATGAGACATGGGAAAAATCAAACAGAATTACTTCCACAGACATATAATTAGAAACTCTTTATTGGCTAACTGGAATAAAATAAAGAAAAAGCATTATCTAAAAATCCCAATTTGGATCTCAACGATGGAAGCGATGATACATCCAAATAATTTGGATCTTAAGAAGATGATAAAATACAAAGACCTTCTGGATGCACAAGGAGCTTTAAAACCATGGCAAGATCACCAAGAACAAGGGCTACAAGTAAACCGGTGGGTTTACTTGCAAATTCAAAATAGATACAGGATAAAAGAAGTTTCAGAATTTACAGTAAGTTACAGCAATTAGATAAAACCTTACTAGGTCCAGATAAAAAAATATAATTTTATAACTATTAGGTAGAATTAGAGGAGGAAGTAGTCAAAGGCAATATGATAGCTTGGAGTAGAAATATTGGACGTAGCATTACATTATTAGAATGGGAAAGGGTCTGGATCAGGAATAATAAAATCACAAAATCAGCAACATATAAAGAAAATGCCTATAAAATGTTTTATAAATGTTTTATCTTTATCCTTCGAGAATAGCGAAGATGTCTCCTAACATGAATCCGAATTGCTGGAAATGTAAAAAGAAACACGGAACATTCTTTCATATGTGGTGGTCCTGCACTGAAGCCCAAAGATTTTGGCGCAGAATCAAAAAATGGTTGGAGGAAATAACGGCGGAGCAAATTGAATTAAAACCAGAATTCTTCCTATTAGGGATATTTGATAGACAAATTCCCTAAAAAGCCAAATATATAATATTGCACATACTGCAGCTAGACTAGCCTTTGCACAGTGTTGGAAACAAGCTGATATTCCAACAGAGGAAATGATTATTCAGAAAATAGCAACCTGTGCAGAGATGGATAAATTGACCTTAGCACTGAAGGATAAAGAATCATCAGAATATTACAAAAGCTGGGAATGTTGGTATGACTGGATAGAACAAAGATAGGAAATATATTAGTAAATAATGTTAACTGTAAAGGAGGTAGTAATTACATACTCGCATTAAGATTTACTTGTAAATATGACACCAATAATTATAACAAATAAGGAACCACAAACTGTTGATAATGGAATTGCTTGCTTTTATTTGTTTATTTTTTGTGGGTTTTTTCCATTTTTTCCTATGTCGTGTATGTGTTCGTTATTTTAGTTGTATATTCAGTGAAGTTTGTTTTTTTAAAACTATATTTAATTGTGAGGAAAATGGGGAAAGAGGAGATCCCATCCATAGGATTCCACTCATACCCTGAACTGCACTGGATATATGAAATATAGCACATTTGTAAGGAAGACAAATTGAATGAACCCATTACATCTATTCTATTGTAGATGAGCACTGGATGTTTCTGGAATGTCCCTTTGGAGAAGAGATGACACATTGATTTATTTTTTCCTTTGAAGTGTTTGATTGACAGCATGAAACAGAAAACATGTACTTAGATTTTATGTATCAAACGATGTATTGAAATGGGAAAAATAAATTAAGGTTCAAGTCACAGAACTCATGGAGCTTCATAATTTAATACATTATTTTTGCTCATAATTTGATACATTATTTTTTCTTAGAATAAAAAACACTTATAAACCAAAGAGTGCTATTAAAAATGAAGATTAACACACTAGTATTCATTTCTTTATAGATCAAGGGATCTTGGTCAAATAAAAGAGGCAAGGAAAACTTCAATCCTTATAGCTATGGCAACATTTGTGCTAATTGTTGCTCAGCACTTTGTGGGCCCATTTCTCCTAGGTAAGAGATTTAATATAATCATTCAGTATTCTTTTTCTTTTATTGTACCTTTGTGTGTTAGTCAAGTCAGGTATATGTAACTCACAATGTAACTTATACATTGCTATGGGTGTGATATAACCTTTGAATCCTCTGGTGGTATTAACTTTATGGTTTGCAACTAATAAGACATTGGGAAAATTATAGTATACCAATCTAGGCACAACTGATTTAATTTGCTGCAGCAAAAACTGAATAAAGCTTGATGGAAAAATCAGCTAGCTTTTTTTTTTTTTGGTTTTCAACAATAATTTTTGGTTCACTGTCCAGCTGTGAATGATTACAATTTAACAATGCCTAACCATAGTTTTGAAATCACAATATTCCAAGCAGAAATTGTTAATTTGATTTGGACATCTATTTTCAAATTTATCTGCAGTACATACTGTACCACTAGTTAGTCATACAGCAAACTAGATAAGAACAGAAGCCTATTTAAACTACAGAGAAAGTTGGAATTAGTATTAATAACTTCACAGGGACACGCAGTAGATGAATATAATGTGTTTCTATTCTGTTGAGTTAGAACGATCACTTTATGTAAATTGTGAGGGCAAACATTTTCAAAATTAAAATAGTTTTTTATTCACACTGTTTTTACCTAACTCATAAAGTGCTATAAGGCATCAGTAAGGCAATAATAATAACGAAGAGCAAATCTGCAAAAAGATGATGTACTTAATTTTGTACCATGTATAGGTTTTGCCAACTTAAAAATTCATTGAAATATACAATTTCTGCCAGAAGTACCTAAACTTGTGCGTGCTACTGCATTCTAAGAAGCTATGAAACTATTTGTCTTAAAGGTAGCTTCATTATTATCTGATAAGAATTATTTGTAATAGAACTTTGTATTTTTTCTATAGTTTAATTGACCGAAGAGGATTTATCCAACCAGATACCCCTCAGCCAGCAGCTTCCTCAAATGGCATTACAATGTATGGGGCCACACAGTCTCAGAGTAATATGGTAGGAACCATCCCATAATGTTGAACAAGAACTCTGAATGTTTCTCTTTTCTGCTTTTTCGAGAATAAGTCTAAACTGAATCCTTCCAGTACTTTACAATAAAAGCCTTCCATGAATATACTGTAATAGAGTTTCTATGATGACAAAATTGTAATAAGCATTAATGCAAAATTTTAAAAAATACTATAAGAACACTAAAAATTTTAGTAATCTAAATTGAGATTGACATAATGAATAGAGAAATTCTCATATTGGAAACTTTGCCTATCTTAATGCTTGGATTTGATGCTTGGATGTTCAATAAGGCATTTATTGTTTTTTTTATTTGTCTACATTAAATGCCACTGGCTGTTCTGCATAAATTCTTGCTACCTTGGATTTCCTATACAGCTCAGCATGTCACTATGAATATTTCAACAGAATAGTTTGAATTTCTTGTGAACATTCTGAAAGCCACTATATTTAACTACTGCAAATTTTTAACTCATGTTTTTATTAAAAAAAAAAAGAATCCTAATTAGAATTGCATTCTAATAAGTACCTAATTTAATATACTAATTGTGTTTAGTATGTTAAAATTGTGTCAATACTTGTATATTTTTACTCCTATTTCTAGACTTCAAACAAAGAAAAAAATCTGAATCCCAAACCTTTAAATTTTTTTCATTTTAGTGAAGTACAGTAATAGTACATCTTTTTATAGTTATGTGAATTTTTTTATATTTTATATAACATTAATATAAGGATTTTCTCTTGAACAATGATTTCTCAGGTGGGTTCATTGATCATTTTTATATCTGCCAGGAATATCAAATTTGTTATATTTTAACTATCAAACATTTTATTGACTCTAGTACCAGTAATTTCTTTTATAGTATTACTAAATGCATAACATAGTTTTATATATCCTTATTTAACACAGAGACTCACTGAATTTATAAGTAAGTGTATAAAAGGAAAATAAAATATTTCTAGAAATGAATGGATTTACTTTAAAATACTTTATGCTTATTTTTTCTCTATTTTGGTTTTTCTGTCATAGTAATAATTGCATATTTCCATTTTTAGGCAGAAGTGTGTAGGTCAAACGAAACTAAGAAAATGTTAATAAATTTGTTATTTAAAATTGACTTTAGGTGTCATCTTATTTTAATATCCGTTATGCCAGGGTTTTTTGCTATAATTTCACTTTTTTGCCTTTATTGCATGTTGTAAAGAAATCTCACACTTACAACTATGGTTTCCACATGTAAACTGAAGAAAGAATTTGAAGAAGTCAACTTCTTGGTTTAGTCTTTGATGTGGTCATTTGGGGCTCATAATTGTACTATTATTTTTTCTGATCTACATTTTCTATACTCTAACGTGATTTAAATTTACTGATCAATAAACTATTCTTCTTTGCTGTTCTTCCTTTGTATGCTTCTCCTTGCAGTACCAGCTACTGAAATCTCCTTTCAGTACCAGCTCAAGAGTAGAGCATCTGATCAATTTAATATGGCTGTATTATTACAGAATAATTTCCTTAGCTTACAACTTAATCAGTGTTTTCTTAACTAGAGTTTTCTAAAGGAAATAGATAATCCGTAATGTAAATCATTTTTTATTTTTTTCCCCACTCCCCAAAGTAGAGATGAAATCAGCATTAAGACTTTTTTTTGAATGAAGTCTCATAATATTGATCAACTACTGGTTTTAGCCAGTAAAATATTATATGTATTGCTGGGATAAATAATAGAATTATATATTTTTGTAATGATAGTTGTAAACTCAGGTAAAGGCTTGCAATGAAATCAGCATATGTTCTGATAACACTGCATATGATGAAACTAAGAGGTATAGCCATTTGATTTCATTTGAACAATAGTTTCTGAGCTTTTAGATATTTCTCAAAAAGGCAATATTAACAAAATATTTTAAAGACTTCCAAAGATTTGTTTTTTAATTCAAACCTATATTAACCAAAAATTCTAGCCAAAAGTTTGCTTCTATGAAATTTAGGAGAAAAAGCAAAGTCAAAGATTTATGGTTAAAGTAAAATGATAGAAATATTTTAAACACAACATAACCTATTAACTTTTTGACATTGGAGACCATATGGCATATGATGTGGATTTTTAAAAATCAGATATTCTTATTTGAAATGCTATTTTTAAATCTCCATCTGAAAATAAGTTCTGAATTAAATACAAACTTATTAAAACTTATCTTTAAATGGTCGCACATGGACATTTATATAAGTTTGAATAAGTTGTGGCTTATATGATACAAAAATGATGGTTTGTTATTGTAGACTTCCCAATGATAATATTCAAGGGATGCTTTACTGTATGATCACAGCAGAAGATTTCTGGTATCATCAGATTACAAGACATTTTTCCTTTGGTAGATATAAAAAATAAATTTTGATAGGAAAATAATATTCATAGCTCTATTAAAATATAGAATATACTAGGGAATTATACAATAAAAGCTCAGCCTGGAAAAATTCTTTGTAAGTAATTGCCTCTTTTCTTTTATGCCTTACAGCAAAGTTCTTCTTAGTTTCCCCATTTTATTAAGCCGTGAATTATAACCTAATTGGCTCTCTGGGGACAATTTCTAAGGACCAGTAAAGAACAGGCAATATTGAAAACAAGTCTGTTTTCAGACTTTTAATTGTAAGCCAGTGTGTTTTATTTGTTACCATAGATTTAAATTGGTATGTATGTTTGTTCAGTTAAATAGTCAAAATAGGGAAATTGATTTAAAATAACAGTGATTTCATATGTGTCTTTAGCATCGTGATGTTTGTCATTATGTATTGTAACATGGTACTGTTAATTTATAATCTTAATATTTGTAAATCTGGGAACAAAATTCCAGAAAAATTCAATAGTCTAACATGTTCCAGTGAAGTGTGATGGTTTGGTGATGATGATCATTTCAAACTGTATATATGTTTTAGTTATGACTTCAGAGTTTTGATCCTTTCAAACTAGTCTACTCTCCAAATAATTTCAGTTCCTCTAAATTAATTATTCATGCCACTTCACTCTCATTGTTCTCAGTATCTAAATCTGTTGAAACATTGCAAATTTGATAAGCCCTTATTGCTTTATTTTTCTAATTGATGAATGATGAAAGTAAATTATCTCCATAACAGCACTTTTAAATATCCCCTTCCATCTGAAAAACTAACTTTATCGTAAAAAACAGGCAACTAACTGATCTAGCATAGTTTTTAAATCAATATGAAGGTTAGACCTTGCTTACTGACTGCCTCATTGAACAACCATTTGAAATTACAATGGCTGAAAAAAATCCCATTTTATAATCAATCCTTTCATTTATGACTGTCACAGCATCCCATGATCACATGATTGCCATTTGTATGTTTCACAACTGGCTTCCAACAGGCAGCATAGAGGACATAGAAGTGAAATCATAAGTCACAGTTGTGTATAATGTCTCACTCAATGATTGCAGAGATTTACTTAAAATGGAAGTGAAGTTGGGAGTCCATTGCCATCATGTGGTTTTCCACTTAGCACCTGCATCACTTGGCAACAAATTTGGCAGTCCCAATCATGGTCAGTAAGCAAAGACTACCTGTAATTCTTTTTATGCCACAGATATATTTGTAAAGTAGAAATATGAAATATTTTAATTATATTTTGATCCATCTATATAATTTTCATGTAAAATCTTTATAGTATAATTGGAAAAATTAGAACATCAAACCTGCATTAATATTACTTTAAATACCCATTGCTTCACTGCCTAAATGTTTAAAAATATTTGGGTTTTTATGGTTTTTTTCTCTCTCAATATTTCCATTATTTTAATAGGGGACTGAAGTTAGATTAACCAGGTGGTAATTGACAGGATCACCTTTTCCTTTTTGAAGGTTGGTAGTATATTTTGCTTTTATCCCCATCCTAGTACACTGCTAGTACTCCATCATTTCTTTAACTAGTTCTTTTATGCCATAAAATACACCATGAGACTCCACTCACTCACCAAAAGTCATGTTTCCTAAACATTTTTTCATTAGTATTTGAGACTGCAATCCACACTCACTCAGTTGTTCCACAGAATTACAAAGGCTATTCTTGATTCAGCGTTGTGGATTGTGCCATCCCTTCATAACTAATTCACCTCTTTTTTATTATGTTCAAGAAAACATTTTAGATATTTTAGAAATATGTGTTACTGCTGCGTTTATATGTATTTTCTTTACAAATTCCTGGAACTGGGATTATTTTAATACTACGGTATGTAGTCCTGGAAATGTCAGTACCTCATTTATCTGTCCTGTGATGTCTATATTCTTCTTAAGCACTTTAATCTTACAGAGCTCTTTCATCATTTTCTGTTTTAAATTTGGGATAGTTCTTCAATTAAAGCTGAATACAGATTCAGCCCAGATCCTTATAATATGGATTTGTTGTTAATTGTAATTTCGATGTCATTATTCTGTAGATACTCCAAAAAAAGAAAATATTTAAAAACATTATAAATAAGGTAAAATACTTGAAGACTAAAAAAAATAAAATGCTAGTGAGGGGAAAAAGAAAAAAAACTGCCACTGCAGGAAGCTTCCCTTTCAGCTGATAAAACATTACACATATACATACATACCCAAATGCTATGACCCACCAGAAAGCATGTTACTGTCTCTGTTACTGTACCAAAACTGTGGATAAACTGAACAGGCAGTATTTACAGTTTTAAAGCAATAGCTATCAAATCAGGTTTATTGAGTTTGACAGACTCCTAATCTTTTAAACCTGATTAATAGAAAAGCTATTATAATTTGCATCAACAAGAATGGTCCACGATGCCATCTTAACAGCCACTATCTCAGTGAAGCTATTTATCACAAAGAATGCATATGTTTTTATGAGTCCCCTTTGCCTCAATATTTTATAACCCTTTGCATATTTTTCTGTTTTTCTGTATTACAAAAAGGGCTTCTGTAACAGCATGAAACGGAGGTAGCTTTCATGCAGCATGATAGGAACCCATTAAATATTCGCTACAATATGCTGTTCTTTTTTTTTTACTTGTTCTATTTTACTTATTTCCCTTTTTTAAAATAGTCTTTTTCATAAGTTCAATACTTTTTATATTTCTTCCAAGTCCCTTTCAATCTCTTTCACTCATTGATGTAGAATTCCAGTGGTTCCAATCATTGACCAAGACACACAACATGGAAAAATAAATGTATTGATTTTGTAATGCTTAATTGCAATTTATTTTTGAAAACTTTTAGATATGGTAGAATAAAATTATCTTTTTATCTCAGTCCTAGCCAGAAAGTAAAATGGACTCATCTTTGATGCTGCAGATATGTTCCTTGGATTATAATCCAATTAGTAGATATGTTTTTGTGTTCTAAATTAAGAGTTCAAAAAATCTGTTTAGTGCTGTTATTTTAAAAAGAAATAAAAACAACCTTTAAAATATTGCTGTTTCTATTTTGTATCAGCTTTATAAAAAAGCAATGGAACTGAAGTAGCTAACATATATTTAATATTCAACTTTAATAGTTAAAATACTTAATTACAAATAAGATAGCTAATAAATTATCCATGTTTTAAATAAAAAACTATTTTCAATAGGATACATTTGTCTGAAAGTGGTTGGTACTTTATTTGCATTGTATGGATTATTTGTCTATTAATAGTTAATCAGCATTAGTTCTAATATTTAACAATTTAGAAAGATTTTGACAGAATTTAAATCTAATTTAAAAAGTCTATATGACTATTATTATATCATATTGTGATGAATTTGTCCTGTATTGACTTGTGCGTGGCACCAATAATCTCATATATTTGAATAATATAATACAGCATTCATAGATTTATGTTCTGATTAACCAAACCAAGCATATGCTGAATATCAATGTAATCTCTATCTACAGTAGAAAGGGGCATTCAGTATTGCTATTGTAAATTTGTAAATTCAAATAGAAGAATGGTTTCATTTCACAAGAATGTTCTGCGCCTAAATAGAATGTGCTGTATATTTCAGGAAATTGCAGTTCTTCAAAGGAGCAGAAGAAAGTGGTGTTTTTGTTTTTTTTACCATTTCTGACCTTGTATAAATGTGAGATACAGCCAGTGCCCTGGCTCATGAAATATGTTAAGATTACTTAAACCATGCCTTATTCAATAAGCATAATAGTCTGGATTCTCACATTGTGCTACACAGAAATCAGATATATTACGTTATGGCTGTTGTTCACACTATGTTTATTTAAAATGTATGCCTCTTCGGCTGAAATTAACCTTACATTCAACAGAGACAAGTTCAGTTTTCTTCAGTTACAAAACAAAAATCAAATACACTTATAGCAGTAGCACTTAGACTTATATACCACTTCATGGTGCTTTACAGCCTTCTCTAAGTGGTTTACAGAATCAGCATATTGCCCCCAACAATCTGGTGTTAGAATGAGGGATACGTAGACATTGTAGAAGGGGAGGCATGCTAATCTTCCATAGCCAAAAACCAGAAGGAATAGCTTTTTAAAACATATTTTATTAAAAGAAAAAAAGCTTTTGCAAGCTACATTTGATGAAATTATGTGCAACTCATGAAAGTTTATGCCTTTTAATAAAATTATTAGTTCTGAAAAGGTGCTGGAAGATTAATTCTAATTCATGTTTATTAACAGCACTTGTGAAAATGATCTTTGGAACAGTAGTTGATTAGAAGAGCCGTGAAGACCTGGCTCTTTGTCGTATTCACCATCTTTAATATTAAGTCTTTATGTTTATTGATTTTATAGTAATTTCTTTGTTTGATTGTTGAGTCACTCAAGAGTCATTAAGTTGGGTGGCATATAATTTTAATAAATTTTATCTAAATAGTGTCTGGAATAATGATGCAACTGTAAACAGACAAATGAAGGGTTTAAATTGTATCAACAAAGTCTGATTAACAAATTATGGAAAATAATTGTTCCATTTTATTTTATTTTGGTCAATTCCTATCTTAAGTACTATGATACTGGAAAATACACTTTAAGGAGAATTCAATATTCAAAGTTTGAAGGAAGACAATGATCAGGAGATTAAAAACAGCCTTATGAAAAAGATTGAAAGAACCTAGATATGTTTAGCTGGAAAAAAAAGATGACTGGGGCGTATGATATCATTTTTAAGATGATGTTACACAGAAGACGATCAAGATCTGTTCTTTCTTCTTTCATAGGACAGGACATGAAAAACTGGATTAAGTGACAGGAAGGCAGATACCAAGTGAAAATATTAGAAAAAAAAA